TATCCATATGGAAGATCAAATCCAATTCACAAACATTTTCGAAACATTTATCCAGGGTCTCCACAAAACCTAGGAAACACAAAGAAATAGGTAAAGAAGAGAAGCAGGGAATATCCACATCTTCATAAATATCACATGTGAAAGTGAAGGGGGAAGTCATACTATTTACCTTAAGGTAAATCTCAAACAAAACAAAACCTCCTTATTTTCTTATCTTTTCTCTCTCATTTTCCTCTCAGGTTTTTAATTTCTAAGAGATCATTCTGTTTGTGTTTCTTGTTTGTTTAGCAGCCCATGTTTGTCTTCTTTTATTGCCCTGTGGCTTAGAGATAAGGGGTTGTTTCTCCCTCTCCCTCTCTCTAAATAAAAAAAAATTCAATAAAAAAGAACGTATATATAAAAAAAAGAGCAGTCACATGTACGTTTTTCCTCGAGCCTCAAAACACCATTATTCAAGTTCATGATCAAGATCAAGAACCGAAGGAGTCAAAACTGAGGCAAAAGGTGTGCTGATGCATGGAGAGACTGAAATGAAGGTACTGCAGGCTCAGACAGCAAAATAATAAGATCTGTATCTAAAATTCAATCCCTAAGAAACACAATCCTGAGGAACAAAATGACAAAGAACATTCGTCTCATAGAGGAAGCGAGTGACTAAATTCATCTGAAAATGGTGAGGACACACACAAATGCAAAGGAAATCATCAAGAGGCAGAAGTCACTCAAGATCTCAGTCGTGCCCGAGCCGGTGTGGCTCAGCGGATAGAGCTGTCGGCCTGCGAACTGAAAGGTCCCAGGTTTGATTCCGGTCAAGGGCACAGGCCCGGGCTGCAGGCTTGATCCCCAGTGGGGGACTTGCAGGAGGCAGCCGACCCATGATTCTCTCTCATCATTGATGTTTCTATCTCTCTCTCCCTCTTCCTTCCTCTCTGAAATCAATAAAGATATTTAAAAAAAAAAAAAAAAAGATCTCAGTCACATAAAAGGTAGTTAAAGCCGGAAGTGGGAAGAGTCTCCATCCAGGACTAGGGGGCAGAAGAATCCTGATCCAGAAGCCAAGAAATCTGCGATCAGACCTCTTCCTGCTCAAGGTCAAGGGGTAGCAGCAGGAGTGCCCCAAAAAGCAGAAGTCCAGAGAGAAAGAGGGGAATGGGAAAAAGAAGAAGATTTAGCGAAAGTTTAAGCCTGATTGCTGGGGGGTTGGGAAGGACAGAGAAATGACAAGAACAGCAAGAAAAGGAAATGGTTGAAAAGCGAAAACAACAAGTAGCCGAGCTACTGGAAATTCAGTTCTCAATGTGCTGGCCTGTGGGCACCGGGGACACAGTGGCTGCTTGGATAGCGATGGCACTCACATGGCAGCCCCCGGAGCGAAGCTTCCGCAGGAAGCAGAATAGCCATGTTTAGCGATTATAACCCAGCAGCTGGGAATCACATGAAATTTGTTGAACAAGAGAAAAAACAGGAAAACGCCTCGGCGAGGCAAGAAACAAGGAGACAAATCCAAGCTGCTTACACATGGGATCAACTGAATTTTGAAAACGAAGACCAAAATGTCAAATTTAGAAAATGAATGGGTATTAACAGTGAAGATGGATGTAGCTCAGCTGATAAGGTGACAAGACTGTACAACAGGAAGAAGTATTTGGAAATCGAGAAGCCCAGCCTGAAGTGGCGAGATCACACACCCGCACACCAAGAGGAATGGAGTGCGGTTCATGGCTTCCGTCCAGGGGCGGAAGCAGTTGGAAAAAGGTCACACTTTTAAAGTTTGGGGCTTTACAGATTTCTTGTTCTAATGTTAGGTCCTCTGTCACCAAACAGCTAGCATTCTAGCTTGCAAGGGTGTTGCACTTTAATCCATTAAAAAATCTGGTTCTTGCCAGAACCGGTTTGGTTGTGTGGGGTGATACGAGAGGTTAGATAACACTATGGTGGTCATCATTTTGCAATACATTCGAGTGCCAAATCAACAGGCTGCACACCTTAAACTTGCACAATGTTATATGTTAATTATATCTCAGTGAAGCTAAGGAAAAAAAGAAAATTTCATTTAAAAAAATATATATATTTTATTGATTTTTTCCAGAGAGAAAGAGAGAGAGATAGAGAGTTAGAAACATCGATGAGAGAGAAACATCGATCGGCTGCCTCCTGCACACCCCCTACTAGAGATATGCCCACAACCAAGGTACATGCCCTTGACCGGAATCGAACCTGAGACCCTTCAGTCCACAGGCCGATGCTCTATCCACTGAGACAAACTGGTCAGAGCAATTTCATTTTTTATAAATATTAAATCTTCTTCTAAGTTTCCCGGGGTTCACCCTTGACCTCAGACTTCCCCAGAAAGAGCTCTTGTAAACTATCAGAAACACTAAAGCCAGACCATGACCCAGACACTTTGTTCACATTATCTCCTCTTGGAAGCCTTCATCTAAAAGTGGCAAATTCGCCCTGGCTGGTGCCCTGAATGGTTAGAGCATCAGCCTGAGCACTGAAGGGTCATGGGTTCAATCCCCAGTCAAGAGGACAGACCTTGGTTGCAGGTTCGACCGGGGCCTTGTGCAGGAGACAACCAATGGATGTGTCTCTCTCACATCGATGTTTCTCTCTCTCTCTCTCTCTCTCTCTCTCTCTCTCCCTCTCTCTCTCTCTCTCTCTCTCTCTCTCTCTCTCTCTCTCTCTCTCCTCCTTCTCCTCCCTCCCTCCTTTCCACTCTACCTAAAAATCAATGGAAAAAATATCTTTGGGTGAGGATTCACAAAATAAATAAAAATAAAAGTGGCAAATTACCCTTCCTTACACAGCTAAGTCGTGCTTAGCTTTTTTCACATAGGAAATATACATCCCTAGTAAAACTATAACGAGAAGCAAGGAATGGTAACTCAAAAGTCTAAGGAGGGATAAAAAAAAAAAAAAAAAAAGTCTAGCCCGGCCAGCGTGGCTCAGTGGTTGAGCATCCACCTATGAACCAGGAGGTCACGGTTCGATTCCGGTCAGGGCACATGCCCGGGTTGTGGGCTCCATCCCCAGTAGAGGGCGTGCAGGAGGCAGCCGGTCCATGATTCTCTCTCATCATTGATGTTTCTATCTCTCCCTTCCTCTCCCTTCCTCTCTGAAATCAATAAAAAATTAAAAAAAAAAAAAGTCTAAGGAGGGAGGCAATGAATGAGGAGGATACAGGAGCTTTAAGGGACTAGGTAACATACTGCTTCTAATCTGAGGGACAGTTTCATTTTATTGGCTTTTAGTTTTAAAATATATTTTATTGATTTTTTACAGAGAGGAAGGGAGAGGGATAGAGAGTTAGAAACATCGATGAGAGAGAAACATCGATCAGCTGCCTCCTGCACACCCCCTACTGGGGATGTGCCCGAAACCAAGGTACATGCCCTTGACCGGAGTCGAACCTGGGACCCTTGAGTCCGCAGGCCGACGCTCTACCCATTGAGCCAAACTGGTTAGGGCATCATTTTATTGGCATTTTTTACACTACGGAATATAAGCATGTTTGCATACTTTATGTATACACAGTATGTTTCACACTCAAAAATAATTTATAGAACAACAATAATCTTTCTGGGATCCTGACAAACATTTCAGTAATTTATAACCTGGAAGTACTGACATTTTAATGAGTTTTCTCACCCAGTAAAGAACATGTTTGATTTATTTAGTTTGCTCTTTTTTCATATTTTCAGTAGTTTTAAAGATTTCTTTATATAGACAGTGTCCGTTTTTTACATTTATTCCTGGGTAGTTTATGGACCTTTTTGCTATTGCGAGTGGGCCCCTTTCAAATATTGTTTTCTAACTTATTATTCTAAAGTAAAGCTATTAATTTTTATATGTTAAACATGTATCCAGTCCCCTTACTGAACTCTAATTGTTTTCCGGTTGTTTTGGGTTTTCTAGGTAGATAATTTCATCTGCAAACATTACATGTTCTTTAAATATGTTTTTATTGATTTGAGAGAAGAGAGGGAGGGAGGGAGGGAGAGAAGGAGAGAGAAACATTGATCAGCTGCCTCCTGCTCGCCCCCTACTGGGGATGGAGCCTGCAGCCCGGGCATGTGCACTGACCAGGGAATCGAACCTTTGACCTCTCAGTGCACTGGATGACGCCCGAGCAACTAAGCCACACCAGCCAGAGCCAAACATTACATATTCTTAAGGCTAGTAAAGCCAATACCCCAATACTGCCCTTTTCCCCTCAAAACATACTTTTAGATTTCCCGGCCGTTTGTTTTTCCCGATAAATTTTCCTTTACCAAGTTCTGTAAGATCTGATGGAATCAGACCTGGGTTTCCCATTTAATCTGTGGATTACTACTGTCATCTTTACTTGATTCTCCCCAACAAGGGGAAGGCTTATAGCTCTCTCCCTTCTGCTATAAAATCAATAAATCTACCAAAAAAGACATTCCTTTGTTTTTCCTTTAAGATTTTATAATGTTATTGGAATCAATGTCAAGTATTCCATACTAAGTTAATTTCAAAACACTAAATACCTTTTGTTACTGCTGGAAGTGAAATTTCATTAATTATGAATTTTCTAGCTATTTCTACAGAAATAAGAAATTCAATTTTGATGAATTCAATCTCATATTCTGCTATTTTGCTCTCATATCAACCATTACTTGTGATACATTCTGCATTTTTCTTTTTAGGTTTTCTAGGTACATAATTAGGCCCTCTTACAGTGATAACGTCTCTCTCTCCTCCTTTACTATGTTACTTCATTTCTTTTTTTTTTTATCACACATTACAAATGTTTGTCCAAAAGGAAGTAAATAGTAAGATACACCTTGTTTACCTGAGTGCCCCTGAGGTAACACTGCCCCTGGTTCTTGGTTTTAAAACTGAAATTGGCCGAAACCGGTTTGGCTCAGTGGATAGAGCGTCGGCCTGCGGACTGAAGGGTCCCAGGTTCGATTCCGGTCAAGGGCATGTACCTGGGTTGCGGGCACATCCCCAGTGGGAGATGTGCAGGAGGCAGCTGATCAATGCTTCTAACTCTCTATCTCTCTCCCTTCCTCTCTGTAAAAAATCAATAAAATATATTTTAAAAAAACAAAAAACAAAAAAAACACACCTACAATTGGCTACTTCTAGAAAAATAAACTAGGTGGCGGAGGGTGGGGGGAGAAAGATACTTTCCCACTGTATATACTTCTGGTGTGCCTTTTGAATTTTGAACCACAAAAATGTATTATTTCTTCAACAATAAATAGTTCATGCTAAATAAGTAAACACGCACTAAATAATCAAATAAAAATGCTTCCTATTCCAATTTGAGAGTATTTAGGAATACGATTTGGATGATCATTTCTTTCAGCTCCTACTGAGAGAAAAGGAAACTATTCGTTTCCACTAAGGTGACTTTTGGAGAACATCTAAGCATGGGGGTCTGGTTGCTAGGGGAACCAGCCATGTGATTAGAGCAGGGGTCCTCAAACTTTTTAAACAGGGGGCCAGTTCACTGTCCCTCAGACCGTTGGAAGGCCGGACTATAGTTTAAAAAAAAACTATGAACAAATTCCTATGCACACTGCACATGTCTTATTTTGAAGTAAAAAAACAAAACGGGAACAAATACAATATTTGTATTTGCATGTGGCCCGCGGGCCGTAGTTTGAGGACCCCTGGATTAGAGGGTTTGGACCTTGCAGTGCCTCCTCCCACCCACCCCTCCCTGGAAGGGAGGGGGACTGGAGGTTGAATCAATCCCCAATGGCCAATGATTTTCAGTTGACCTTACCTATGCCGTGGTGAAGTCTCCATAGAACCCCCAAAGGACAGGGCTCAGAGAGCTTCTAGGCTGGTGAGCTCCAGGAGATTTGGGGAGAGTGGTGTGCTTGGAGAGAGCATGCAAGTTCGCGCCCTTTCCCCATACCTCGCTCTATACATCTCTTCCATTGGGCTATTATGTGTTTTATCCTCATAACAAGCTGCCAATCTAGTAAGTACAATGTTTCTCTAGAGAGTTCTGTAAGCTGCCTTAGCAAACTAATCAAGCCCACGGAGGAGGTCACGGGAATCTCTGATCTATAGCCATTTAGTAAGAAGCACAGGTGATAGACAACCTGGTCTTGCGTTTGTTGTCTATCTCCAGATATATAGTGCCAGAATTGAGTTAAACTTATGGGACACCTGGTCAGTGTCCACAGAACTGAGTTATAAACTGGTGTCAGAATTGTACATGAGAACCAAGGGCAGCAAGATGGCTAGGTACTAACCAATGAATCCAAAAGCTCTGAGTGTTTAAGGGTTGCTATGGAGCTTTCTCATAGCACCATCTGGTGGACATCTGGCAACTTTTACCAATTACCAGTAAAGAGACTGACAAAAGGATCTACAGCAGCGGTTCTCAACCTGTAGGTCGAGACCCCTTTGGGGGTCGAACGACCCTTTCACAGGGGTCACCTAAGACCATCGGAAAACACATATATAATTACATATTGTTTTTGTGATTAATCACTATGCTTTAATTATGTTCAATTTGTAACAATGAAAATACATCCTGCTTATCAGATATTTACATGACGATTCATAACAGTAGCAACATTACAGTTATGAAGTAGCAACGAAAATAATTTTATGGTTGGGGGTCAACACGAGGAACTGTATTAATGGGTCACGGCATTAGGAAGGTTGAGAACCACTGATCTACAGGATGGCTCCTCAAAAACCCAGAGAATCCCAGAGCACCTGCCATCATTAGCGGACTACACATACCTGGATGAGGTCCAAGATCCCAAGCTCACTCTCCGATGAATCCACACAAAATACAAAGTAGAGGGTAGCATAGTGCCGATAAATCAGTTTGTAGTCAGCACCGCCAATCAAGCTGTGGGAGACAGGAGACATTTAAATCCCTGCATCTTAATTAAACACATCAAAGAGAAACCCTGTCCCAGGGCAGGAGAACGGAGCCAACACACAGGGGGAGGATGGGCCAAAGCGCAGTGCAGTTCCACCAGGTGAATGTGACCAAGTTTGGCAGTGGTGCCTACATCACTTCCCTCACCTTTTCTTCTGCCCATCCTCCCAGAAACCAAACATCTAAGGAAGAAAAATCCGAAACACAACCGTGCAACAGCTTTCAAACAGAATCGGGTCTCTCCCTCGGTCAGCTCTGCCTCAGGAAGCAGTAATGATGACGGCCACCCGGAAGTGGACACGTGGGGAGAAATCGGAAGCTGATTGCTTACCTTCCACCCTCCAAGAAGTTACAGATGTTGTCATCCCGTTTGAGAACTAGATGGAAGGTCTCTCGCACAATCTGCTGTTGAATTTCTTCCGGCTGTGGAATAAAAGAAATAGAGTGAATCAGCGGGGGCATCTGAAAATATATCCCATTGATGGAGGTGGACAGGGAGAGAAGTGGTTCCAAGCTGGGAATGATCTGAACATAGGGTACCAGATTCCAGAAAAAAGTGATGAGTAGAGAAAAAAATAATAATAGGGGAATCTCTGGAAAAATGGACAAGGCTCTGTTATAGGAATTAAGCAAGGGTATATTGCCCAGCCGGCGTGGCTCAGTGGTTGAGCGTTGACCTATGAACCAGGAGGTCATGGTTCAATTCCCATCAGGGCACATGGCTGGGTTGCAGGCTTGATCCCCAGAGTGGGGTGTGCAGGAGGCAGCCGATCAGTGATTCTCTCTCATCATTGGTGGTTCTATCTCTCTCTCCCTTGCGCTCTGAAACCAATAAAAATATTATAAAATCAAAACAAACAAGAAAGGGTATATTTACCTAGCTATCTAGTCACTAACCATTGTCCTGACAGGTAAGGTGATATTTCTTTATAGTTAATAACGAAGAAAGGAGAATCGACAACTCTCCAGCAAGGTGAAAGAAAAACTAGAAGGCCTGGTCCTGAAATATTTTGTCTTGCCCTCAAAAACATCTATGGCAGGGTAAATAATGTCAACAGGTCTAACACCTTAAAGAGGTCAAGATGTAATTGTGTACACATTAAAAAACAAACAAAACTGAACTTGCCATCTTATGTGCTGGTGATGTAGGTATTACATGTAAGATGTTGTGTTACCAACAGTGTTACTGAGAAAGATGGTTCTATAGAGAATAAGAATTTTGAATAATCGCAGAGCTACAAATACTTTTTTCCCCTCACTTACTACATCCGAGAAAGGTCGACTGTGATGGAATGTCTTGATAATTCACATTTGATTTCTATTTATACATATAAGGTTCAAAATGAGTATGGTTTTTAAAAAAAAAAAAAAGGATGGGAGTGAGAAACCAGTCATTACAGAAGCAATCAAAAGCGCTAGACCAGGGCTCTCAAATCTCGGTAAGTGTGCAATAAATCACCTGGGAATGTTATTAAAATGCCGATTATTCTGACTTACTAGGTCTGGGTAGGTCCTGAGACCATTTCTAACAAGTTTCTAGGTGATGCCAATGCTGCTGGGACCACACTTTGAGGAGCAAAGCTTAAGCAAACCTTCAGACTGGACTTGCCCTAAGAGTCAGATAATAGATTCAAAAATGTTAATACCTTTCTTTCTGCAGCAATTTATATTTGAAATGTTTAATTATATAAAAGAAATAGAGGTAGCCCTAACCAGTTTGGCTCAGTGGATAGAGCGTCGGCCTGTGGACTGAAGGGTCCCAGGTTCAATTCCGGTCAGGGGCATGTACCTTGGTTGTGGGCACATTCCCAGTAGGGGGTGTGCAGGAGGCAGCTGACCGATATTTCTCTCTCATCGGTGTTTCTAACTATCTATCTCCCTTCCCCTCTGTAAAAAAATCAATAAAATATTTTTTTAAAAAAGAAAGAAAGGTAAAAACAGGGAAAATGTCACTGTGGAGAAACCATTTTTCAGAGCTCTGACTCACCGTGGGTATACAGTGGCTCAGTATTTACTCAAGGATGAATGAAACCGTACTAATCACTGGCCCCTGTAAATTTGAGTAAATCGACCAGGTACTTTCCTGGTTTCCATTTAAAGAAGCTCACAGGGGGGAAGCATCAGCACTTTTTTAAACTGAGAAAAACATCTTTCAAGCTAAAGCCTTTAATCTGACTCTAGGGTGGAGGTGGCTGCAGTTAGTGGGAAAATGGTATGAAATGACGAAGCTACCTAATTTCTAATTCAACAAAAAGGTAAACTACCAATTGTTTATAGTCCTCAACTATTTTTTAAAAATATTTTATTGAGCCCTGACCGGGTTGGCTCAGCGGATGGAGCGTCGGCCTGCGGACTGAAAGGTCCCAGGTTCGATTCTGGTCAAGGGCATGTACCGTGGTTGCGGGCACATCCCCAGTGGGGAGTGTGCAGGAGGCAGCTGATCAATGTTTCTAACCCTCTATCCCTCTCTCTTCCTCTCTGTAAGAAATCAATAAGACATATTTTTAAAAAAATGAAAATAAAAATAAAAATAAAAAATATTTTTATTGAATTCAGAGAGGAAGGGAGAGGGAGAGAAAGATAGAAACATCAATGATGAGAATCACTGATTGGCTGCCTCCTACACACCCCACACTGGGGATTGAGCCCGCAACTCAGGCAGGTGCCCTTGACTGGAATCGAACCCAGGACCTTTCAGTCTCCAGGCCACGCTCTATCCACTGAGCAAAACCAGCTAAGGCTAGACCTCAACTGTTTTAATAATCCTTCATATCCTTCAATACTCTTATTTTTACAAGGTTAATTTTCACTCCTGAGCTAATATGGTTCTTAAAAAAAAAACTATGTTCTTCAAAGAAGATCTACAAATGGTTAACAAGGACAGGAAATGATGCTCAACATCATTAGACATTAGGGAAATGGAAATTAAAACCACAATGAAAATCTACTTCACACTCACTAAAACAGCTTTAATGGGAAAGATGAACAAAAGTCACTAGGGAGATAGAGAAATTGGAACACATACTGCTGACGGGAATGCCAAAGGGTTCAGCCACTTGAAAAAATTTGGCAGTTCCTCAAAATGTTCACCATAAAGTTACCGTATGACCCAGAAATTCTACTCCTAGGTATAAAATTAAGAGAAATGAAAAACACTTGTCCACATAAAAACTTGTAGTACATGGCCCTAGCTGGTTTGGCTCAGTGGATAGAGCACTGGCGTGCGGACTGGATGGTCCCAGGTTCAATTCTGGTCAAGGGCACATGGCCGGGTTTCAGGCTCCATCCCCAGGTTAAGGGTTCGATCCCCAGTAGGGGTTGTGCAGGAGGCAGCCAATCAATGATTCTCTCTCATCATTGATGTCTCTCTCTCTCTCTCTCTCTCTCTCTCTCCCCACACACACACACACCTCTCCCTTCCTCTCTGAAATCAACAAAAATATATTTAAAAAGAACAACTTGTAGATATATGCACCCCTATGTTCATAGCAGCACAATTCACCATAGCTAAAATTTGGAAACAGCCTAAGTGCCCATCAGCAGATGAGTGG